CCACGGATACTAGTAGGCTGGTAAATGAGAAAAAAAAGATATGTTGTACAATGATTGAATTACAAGAGGCGTGATAAGTGTTATGTTTTACAGCTTAGATTATTCAATGATTATGATAATGTTATTGTTTTTCTCATATTGTTTTTCATAAATTCCACCAAGGTAAGTGGATGGTAAAAGTTTTATTATTGATAAAAGGTTTTGTTGTTAATAAACGAGTTTATTGTAAATTATGCTCCATTGGTCTTTTTGTGGTTTTCTACCCACCTTTATCTCCGTGACGGTGAGATATCGTGATGTTCTTACTGGGCTAGTGTAGCTCACTCCTTAATTAACCATTTCAGATCAGGAAGACATGGTTCCCGAGCCCGTTCCGCAGGAGGACGACGAAGGGGATGCCTAGAGACTCTGTAGTCATACGCATAGTTTATTTTCGAGTTTTCTTTCTTAGTTAGTTTAACCTTTTATATTTTAAGTACGTTTGTTTGGTTTTTCGTGTAAGGGATGTTAAATGAAATTTTGATCTCGCTTCCGCATTTGATATATTTAAATACTCAATTCATTTTAATATTTTCCGGGGCCGTTACAAAAATATATAAATAATAGTTATCTAACAATATATAATATTTATCTATTTAAATATTTTAAATATAAAAATAGAAAGTGAGTATGATGATAATACTATGTGATTAATTTTAATTGCAACAAACTCTGAAATTATGCATTATATAACCTCTTAATTACCTAATTTTTCTAAATTTCATTCATCATATAAATTTCTCAATCAAAAGTTAAAGTATAATATTTTTTTATATTTTATTAAAAACTTTTTTCTATATATTTTTCGCATATTATTTTTACAGAAATACAAAGATATATTTTTTTTAGATAATATCAAAAAATGCCATATAAAGCTTTCTTAACTTTTTAGATAAAAATTAAAAATAATATATTTTAATATTAATATAATTATGTATATTATATAGAGATTAAATTTTGGATGTTATCCATTCTGATTTTAAAATAAAAAAATAATATACACAAAATTATCAATCTAAAAATTTTAAAATATAAAAGTAAAATTTAATTTTTAATTGAATTTAAATTAAAATCAAATAATTTTTAAATATAAAAATAATTTTAATAATCGATATAATAATTATTTATTTCAAAATTTTAACTATAAAAATAAATTTTGTTTTAATTAACTGCAATTTTGTATTGTAAATTTGAATTTAAAATTATTATTTTATAAATAATTTTTTTAAAAAAAAATTAACTGTTAGCAGACTAAATTATGGAAATTTAACTTTAACCACATTGTATTAGAATTCACCCAAACGAAAAGTTTTCGCCGATAACCATCCTCTCCGTCGTTTGTAGCATGTGCTCTGGTAGGTGTTCCTCTAAGAAACCGCTTTGAAATGGGAAACCTCTGGTTTCAGCACGCCACGTGGACAATCTGTTTCGTCACTAACACGATGCAAAACTCTTTAAGCCGTCGATTTAGCAGCAAGCGACGTGTTACAATAAGGTGAGATCTTATCCTGACACGCGAAGTACAGAAACGTAGCCCCGAAATATTATAATAAGTACTCGCTGGACATCGGTAGCAGCACTAGATATTCTTTAGGTCTTAACTTGCGCCTCGAGTTATCTCTCTCTCTACTCTCTGGTATCATAAAAATCGTGATATCAAAAGGAGAACAGGAGGGGTTAAATCTCGTTTCTACATATCGTGAAATCAAACTCTGTACGGACGGAGATCGCGTAGTGGAAGATGAAGATTTTCGTTAAAACTCTCAAAGGAACCACCTTCGACATCGAAGTTAAACCCGAGGACACGGTTTGTTTTTTCCTCTGCCCTTTTCATTTTCTCAATTGGAATGGCTTAATTGGAGTAGTTTTATTTTGAATTTCTCAATTTCATGTTTTGTTGATGCGTTTTTTCTATTTGTTATTGAAGGACTGGGTGATTAGGGTTTATGTATCTGTTTTTGTTGTGTATTGTGTTGTTTTACGTTTGCCGAGAATGCGATGAGAGTGTAAATTAATTGATTACTGTGAATTCTTTGTCTAAATTTTAGTGTTTTGAGTGCTTTTTCTTTTCTTTTTTTTGTTTCTCTTGGTTTCGTCAAGGTTTAATTTGTCTCTGTAAGAGGTGTTAGGTAGGTTCGCTTGTTGAATTGTGTGGGACATGAAGAGAGATTGTTTGAATTTAGGTATTGAAGCGTAAACCTCGCTAATTGTTTACTTCAGGAGTGAAGTTTTTGCAGTGTACCTACAATTTGGCATTGTTGTGATTAAATGAGGGATTTATTCAATTGGGTATTGGTAAGACTATGTTGTGGGCTTTGTGATTGATGGGCGTATTTGATGTGTGCCTGATTTTAAGATGTACAGCAAATATGCTTTTACTTCAGTACAAGCAATGTGTGAGATTGTCACCCTCTTGAGTTTTCTTCTTAGAGGGGCAAGCTAATTATATAAAGCAGATTCCTTTCAGTGTGGAAATAGCATTGAGAAGAAGAGGGATCTTGTTATATATTGCATTTATTTTAACTACAATACTAGTCCTTCCGCATGCATGTAGCTTGCGTGTATGCACAAAGAGACAGATTATATTGTTTGTCATATCTGTGTAGGATTGCGAACAAACGGTCACTTCCCATTCATCTTTAACGCTCTTGTATAACCGTGCTTTGGATTTTTGTTATGCAACGCTGGCTTCTCACACATGGTGCATGCAATTTATATAGACAACAAACGTCTAACAACTAGAGCATAACCCGTGCTTGTTTTATATGATCGCTTTCATGCCTTTAAAACAGTAATCTCTTATTGACATTCACATCTACAGTTATTGACAATCCATATAATATATCACTCTTTTATGCTAGTAACGTGCTTTCCTTCTTGTAAAAAAAAATACCATGTTTTGCCTTTATTTCCATTACAACATCGTCCTTCTTTTACGCAACATTTTCTTGTGTATATATAGTCAATAAATTGTCTGAAAGACTAAATTGGACCTGTGGCAAAGCAGTATCTTTTTCATCTCCATTTCTTTTCCCTTTAAACAGTGATCTTTTATAGCATTAAATTTATTACAGTAGTTATTGATTTAGTACTCTTTC